TACTTAAACAGGTCACTAGGTGGCGCTGCAGAATAAATCATGCAGTCGAGCAGAACGGAAGCTTAAGTTTTCTGCCTCGTTGTTCCTACATACAGACCTTTTTATATACAGTCAATGATACAGACAGATACAGGAACAGAACACACCCCTCCCCGAAACCCACCAGGGAAGGGGGACAACATAAGCAAAAAAATCCTTTCAGTGAAAACATAAAGAGTAAAAATAGAAGAGAGATACTCCTCTCACTGCTAGTCTCATTTCAGCTTCAGAAGAATTTATGAATGAATTTTTGGAAATAAGAAGGCCAGCAGATTGTGTCTTTATTAGCCTACACATTGGAATTCTGTCAGAAATATGAACAGTAGTCTAGGCTATGGAAAGGATTAATCGTTAAAGCGTCCAATATCTCTACTCCAGTGTGCAAAGTATGAATACTATTGCTTTACTGTAAGACAGAACTGTCTAGTTCATTGAAGTGAACCATGAAGTTAACAATTATACTAATTTATTACTCAGCCAATGCAAATTGTTATCTTAATTCAACCAAAAAGCAGAAAGACTTAGCATACCTAAATTATTTCCCGACAGGTGAACTGTTTTAGATTTTTATCGAGGAAGTCCCCTGAGAAATGGTCCAGATCCTTTAAATCTTGAAAGACATTGACCCAATATTGTGCATGGGGTTTTTTTATACATCCCCACCACTATTCAATCCTTTGGTTATGATTACTTGAGCCAGTGATGTAGCATCTCTCAGAAAACTCGTCTTCATGGTTACCTCTTAAAAATATCTGCATCTGCTCCACTGAACAGTTCTCTGTACCCAGGTCTGACCTGGTAAGCGTGGGAGTGCCGCTCCTGTTTTCCACTTCATCAATGAGGTACCCAGCAATAACCCTGGAATTGCTACTTGTGGAGTAAGCATGTAGCCATATGACCATACGCGAAAATCCGTCGACAGCCCCATTAATACAGATTCCATATGGTTTTAGTTTGTCATATGAATCGACATGTCACATGAAGTTGGGACCTGGGTTTCTGTAGAGACGTCGTCTTAGACGATTCCGTAGCCTCAGCTGTACTCCTTGCGGATCTAGGATTTTCAGCAGGTACCTGATAGTTCTTTGGGACACCACCAAGCCAGCCTGGGTGCTTTTCAGATGCATTAATTTATAGCCATGAAACATCCCGTACTGGTTTAATTGTTTCAGCAGGAAGAGAGCGACTTCCACTAGGTCAGAGTGGGTTTTTCGTCTGAACAACCCCAAGGACTTAATATACCTTCACAGTGTTGACATACTAATATTAATGCCATCCACATTAAGTAACCTCAATATTTCCCAGAGTCTCATACCTAAGAAGAAATAAAAGCATATCAAATCCAATAGCACAGTCATTGTCCACTTTTCATGCAGGTCAGCGATGACTGTCCTTAACTTTTCTCATAATTACAAAATCTTTTCTTATAATAATGAGATCCTGATCTCATAATTACGACATCTTTTCTCATAATTATCTCATAATTATTACAAGATCCTGATCTCGTAATTATGAGATTAGGCTTCCAATTTTTTTTTCTTTGGTGAATGCAATGCGCTTCCGTATAACCAGTCTGTGATCTGCATTTTGCGCTCGGTTATGCAGAAGAGCCCAGTATAATTTGCTCCTCCTGATGCCAGTCACTACCCCTTAAAAACGATGCGCCATGACAACTACTCGACTATTTTATGGAGGACTTTACACCTATTAAGGACTAGGTGTAAGATTTAAGTTGTAACTTATGTCTACGTTGGACGTATTTCAGCTGGTGCAACACTTAAAACGTTAGCAGCACGTAAACTCCGACTTAAGTTAGTAATTACGTTCAAACCAAGCTAAGTAACGTTACACACATAGTTAGTGCAGGCTCACTAAAGGAGGGGATCCTGCTCTGCTTCAGTATGTCATAGTACATGTTGGCATTCATGGTTCCCTCAATGAACTGTAGCTCCCCAGTGCAGGTGTCGTGCCGAAAAGTGATCGTCTGCCAAAAACTTTGGTAGGCCGATGTGTAATATCTTTGTTTATATTTGGAAAACACACTGTAGCCTAATTAACATGACTTACTGCCAACTTAGATAGAAAATTAAGACAATTTTGCTATTATCCATATGACTCTGCATTATTTTACTTGCTGTGTAGGCTTACCAACCAATCCACTCTTTTTTACCCGTTATAATACCTTTAAATGGCCAATACAACACTTAAAATGCAGTATTTCACTTGCCAGAAAGTGATTGAAGAGACTGGGCAATACAGCTCCAGCAGACGGCAATCAGTTTTCGGCAGACGATCACTTTTCAGCACGACACCTGCAGCACTCATGCAGCCCCAGACCAGGACACTCCCACCACCATGCTTGACTGTAGGCAAGACAAACTTGTCTTTGTACTCCTCACCTGGTTGCCACCACACACGCTTGACACTAACTGAACCATATAAGTTTATCTTGGTCTCATCAGACCACAGGACATCCAGTAATCCATGTCCCTAGTCTGCTTGTCTTCAGCAAACTGTTTGCAGGCTTTCTTGTGCATCATCTTTAGAAGAGGCTTCCTTCTGGGATGACACCCATGCAGACCAATTTGATGCGGTGAGCGGCATATGGGCTGAGAACTGACAGGTTGACTGCCCACCCTTCAATCTTTGCAACAATGCTGACAGCACTCATACGCCCATTTCCCAAAGACAACCTCTGGATATAACGCTGAGAACGGGCACTGAACTTCTTTGGTCGACCATGGTGAGGCCTGTTCTGAGTGGAACCTGTTTTGTTGTATAGACTTGGCCAACATGCTGCAGCACAGTTTCAGGATCTTGACAATCTTCTTATAGCCTAGGCCATCTTTCTGTAGAGAAGACATCACTAATTGGTGAACCGCAGTACGGATCCAGAGTCAGCCGCCATCCTCTCTGGACCCCGACCTACAGCTGATTTATTATTGAGAATTACTACCTTGTGATGGAGAGTTTCTATTTTAACCCGGGCAGCTTTTCTAGCATTTAATTTACTGGTTTAGCGGCACAGGAAACTCAAAGACCAATTTCATATGTTCCAATTATCTCATGTAATGCTGCCCATAAGCATCAGAGGACGAGTTTGCGATTGAGAATCACCAGAGAGGAGACGAAAGACAAGAGATTTCACATGGCTTTTAATCAAGAATGTACAGATTCTTACATGTACATTATTTCCATGGGCAGTTCAAAACCAGAATATCTCATATCTCCAATCCTAGCCAGAGCTCATGTTTCTGAAAAAGAGAAAGTAGGAAAGTGGCATGTAAGAGGGAATGAAAGGGGAGTGTTTATTATAAAATTGGTTGAAACTACACTTCATCACTTCAAACTACACTTGTACATGTTTCTGAAATTAAGCTCTTTATTTTAGTTTACTTAAATTTAGAATTTATTATTAGAGCAGTTATTATCCCTCCAGTTTTATGTGAAAACTGACTGAACTGAAAACATTGTTGAAATATTATTTGACAGTCAGTTGTTAACTAAAAACATATGTTGATACAACTATTTGTTATGGTACTGAAGGACAAAGAAAGTTAGTCGTTATGATGTTCCAGACCTTTGCTTCGGGAAACTGAATACCCCTGATTTAGAGCAAGAATTCTTCTTTTCAGATCCCCAGAAAGTTCTTTGCCATGAGGTGCCATCTTGAACTTCCAGTGACCAGTAAGACAGTGTGACAGCGAGAACACCAAATGTAACACACCTGCTCCCCATTCACAACTTAGGGTGCTTTCACACCTGTAGTTTGTTCATTTGGTCCGGATCATGTGGAAAAAAAAAATACACTGTTCTGGTCCGGTTAATGTTCACACTGCAGTTTTACAAACGAACCAGAGAAGTAACCATGACGTTACACAGACGTACAGGTAACTTGTTGATTGGACAGCTTTCGATTGTCATCCTGCATCATCAGGACCCACGTGGGGAAATCAAACTCCGGTGACTGACAGAGGTTTGTGCAGCACTTTAATGCTTCTGATCTGTATCGCAAAGAGCTCATGAAGTGATAATTCATTATAAGCATGAATGGTAGCCTAATGTTAGACCGCAGATCGACCGCATAGCCTATTATGAATAATAACGTACAAACAGGACATGTACTATTACTGTACATGTCCTGTTTTTACGTTATACTGTGGTATCGCGGTCACATTTTTTATGGACTGATAGGGTAAATGGAGTACTACTTGCCCTAAACAGATTTTAACCTATTAATTAGGAAAATACCCGCGCTGACAAGTAGACTATACCTTATAAAATGATTTTCATAATATAGCAGCTTATACAGATCAATTATAAGGTCGCTGAACGCATGTCGCTGTCAGCAGATGGATTTATTAGTGGTTTAGCTTTGGAAATAATGCTCAGATCACATCTCTGCTATCATAAAATCCTGTGTTTGGTTCGATTGCTTTCACACCACAAGCGAACCGCACCAGAGTTTGAAAGCATACCGAGACCTCCTTGAAGAGGTGGTCTTGGTATGCTTGTTTGGTGCGCACCCAACTGTGACTGCTGCGTTCTCACCTGCCCAAACGAAACGCACGAAAGGGGAAAACGAACTCTAGTGCGATTCAACCTAACTAAACGAGACAGGTGGGAAAGCACCCTTAGACCTTGTAAATGGCAAATTGAGCCAATTTGGACATTTCCACTTAGAGGTGTACTCACTTTAGTTGCCAGCATGTTTTTTTTTTTATTTATCACTTCAACTTTCACAGACTTAGAAAACAAGCAGCTGTCTGCTATGTTCTGGTATCTGATGCCAGGTAATTTAAATCAGTAAATAAAGGCAAATAAAGATACATTTATTTTGTTATCTAGCATTGTTTATTCTGCAGATTTCTTGATTGCTGCTTTTTGTTTTTTACTTATTACTAATACATATTTCTTATGAGTAATCCTGTAGTACTGTTGGAATGATGTATGACAAAATGTAAAACAAGTACAAGAAAACATTTATTAAGAATTATTCAACTATTAAGATGACAGTGATTGCATGCACAGTTAAAAACACCAACACAAGATGCACTACAAACACTTCGAATATCAAAAGGTAAGAATACAATCAACACTTCTCAGTTTATGGTGCAAAGCTCATTCAAAGTCAGCAAACAAAAACTCACATTACAGCCGAGTATGCAAAATTTCATGTCAAATTGTTTTGATGCACACATTTCTGTTTGGAGTCCATATTTTTGGTAGTCCTCGAATGACAATTTTTTATACTACCATAAGGAGTCGCCAAATCCAGTTTCAAATCTTACACATAAAGGGATGAAGCTGATGATACACGGGGCAACTTTTAGAGCAATGGTGCAGGGCAACATTGCCGTCAATGGTAATGAGTAAAGATTACCACCGTAATCCCCTTCCCCCACCACTCTGCCACCCGCCCCGCACCGCCACTATCCCGTGACCAGCAACATTGCTCAAAAATTTGCGCCGTGTATCATCAGCTAAAAGCAACTGCTGACAAACATCAACGGTCCACTGACTTCTGTGTGAATACAATCAAGGTATTAACATTTCTTTTGATGCTAGAGGGATGCCACTGAGAAGAGGTTTACATATTGTGTAATTCCAACTTTTTGTCCAGTCTAGGTCAAGGAAGTAATTAATTACATGAACTCCTGGCATGCAGAACTTTTAGTGTATGTCCTTTAATTTATTTTAAGCTAACTGAGAAACTGATCTAAACAAGCCCATGACCTAAACCCATCACTGACATCCTGTGGCTTTTCTAACTTTAAAGGTCTAAAATATAGCTATAATAATATTTCAAATACAAACTTAAATAAAATCCATTAAAAAATGACACTGTTTTCTTAAAGAGACTGCTTATCCTTGAGTTTAGCTATTCATTGAATGGTTTACAAAAGGTTCAGAACTAGAAATACAAATTTTGATCAATAAACTTTTTTTTTTAAACATTTTTCCAGGTGAAAATATATCTACCAAAAGCAGTTGTGCATTTTTAAGAGAAATAAAAAGAAAATAAAAATTCACACATTTTATTGAAATATACTACAAAAGATAGAAAAATAGTTGTAGTATTACAGTGGGCAGGCTGGCTGGGCTCAGAGGAGGTGGTGGCTGGTTGGTGCAATGGGATTACATGATGAAGCAGCCTCTCTTGGCAGCGCGAGGGTCTCCCTGTCATGAAATATTTACAGTACCATTTTAAATAATGCTACAAGCGCTCCGAGGTTTTAAAAACACATCACCTGACCTAACAGTAAACACAACGTTAAAATATAGATCAGCATTAAGGTTTGAGGTTGAATGAGAGACTAACTGGTTTGAAAGTCAGACTAAAACACAGATAACCTTCTGTCTGTGCATCAGAACTGGGTTTTGTGTGAAGTGTTTTTCCAAAATGTGTGTGCGCGGCTGGTAGTCTCACCTGCTGGTGGAAGAACTCTTCTTCAGAGGTCTCCACTCCATTATCATCCTCTTCCTTTCCCTGCTCTTCTACTGCCATGTTGTATGTTGTGGTCCTTTTTGCCACCTCCTGACACACACACACACACACACACACACACACACACACGCATCAACTCCCCCATCAAGAATATAACCAAGGGGATTTAAAGAACGTTAAATTGGAGGCAACTGGACTTGGTTGAAGTTACTAGGAAAAGCCTCTTGGATGAGAAACATCTTCTTCAACCAAGTCCAGTAGCCCCTGATTTAACCTTCATTGGATAACTATGATCTGGGTGACTGAGAACATGAAACAGAGATATCAATCCAAAGTTAATTTGCTTTTCCTTGACACAACTGGCACTGACAAACACCGCTCTTAGATTTTTTGCCAGAAAAACAAAAATGAGAATTGGCAACAAAAAACAGATGTGGGTAAGGTTGGGTGACTATTACACTCTAGCCAAAAGGTGTAAGATGTATGCCTGAACAGTCAGGACACCGGGTCGGAGGCAGAGTACAGGAATGGAGGTGGTGGAAGGACTTGTGTATTGTCTCACCTCTCCCTGTGGGTTGATCAGCACCACATGGACGCCCTCCCCCGAACCCCAGGAGGACTGGTTCTTCCAAACCAGGTCTGTGGGAGGTTTGGAACTCACACCAGCATCAGACGCCCAAACCTGCACACAGCAAACACAGTTACAAGAGGGTTCCGAAAGTCTCAAAGTCATCCTCATTTTCGCCACAGTATTCCCGCTGCACATTCACCGCACACTGCATTCTTAAAATCCAAAGAGACCCCACTGAGACTTTTGGTCAAGAATCAGTTGATGTCAATCAGTCCTCTCCTATATCCACTGGTTGAAAGTCCAGCTGAAATTAAACTGCATGGCTTCTTTCCAGCCACCTTTGAGGGGTAAAAACATTCCCCAGAAGAGAGAAGTTCATATTTATGTTTTTGGTTTGATGACTGCACCCCGATCCTTTCGTTATCCAGTCAGAATGCTATTAAATTACTGTCTATGTAGTAGGACAATATGAACTAAACTCAAAATTGCAATTTTTTTTCGAATACAAATAATGAATGATTAATTTGGCTTTCAGGCTACTGTAATATGTAGCTGAACTAACAAAAGGTGGGATATCTTTTTCAATTCACAAATGCCAAAAAGTGATTTTCCAAATGTTGGGACCACCACAGCACCGCCATTCTTGGTCAAAATTATTGTTGATATAAGGGCAGTGCAATGTGTCTCGGAAAGTGACGCTAAAAGGAAGCGAGTAAGTTGTCAGTCTGGAAGGAAAAGTACAGTGTAGGTCACAGTGTGTCTGTTGAAAGTCAGTCTGTTTCCCCAACTGCTGCTAACAAACCTTGAGCTTCAGACTCAAGCCTGGAAGCTGAGCATGACTGGACAGGGCTGAGTCACGTGACCAATGCATTAGTATGCTTTTAAGGATACAGTACATGAACACACTAGTGGGGAAAATAGTAATAGGATTACAAAAACAAAACATTACATCAGTTAGAGGTTCTGAATTTCAGTTTCGATTACTAGCAGCCTACCAGGGACAAACCTTTCCTCTGTCTGTAATGATTCCAAAATGCCAAAGTCAAATTTAAAACCTGTACCTCTCACTTTATGGTAAGGGGTCGACAAGAGTTTTTCAGGGCCAATACTGATTATTAGTAATTAAGGAGAGCAATAACAGGTATTTGGAACACATTTATATATTTGCTAAAGATGATGCCAAGATTCCAACTGCACAATACTTACTGAACAAATATGCTTCAGTTATTACTATTATTAACTATTACTATTAAAAAAAACTGCTTTTGAAAATGACCATAATGCCAATTAACAAACTCAATATTCCTATTATGGCTAACTGTACATCAGTATTAAGTATCAGCAGGAAGTTTGACAGTGCCATGCAGTTGATTTTAAATGAAAGTTATAAACATTGGTTAGAGTGTGATTGTAAGAGGGGTTTTAAACTTCTTACAGTCATGCTGCAAGGGGAAAATTGTTTTTGTAGACTGATCTTTGTGCATAAGAGAATCCATTTATTGCTGTGATCTTAAGGCAGTAACGTTACAAGATGCACATTTCTCTCTTGCTGCATGTTTAACAATCTGTGTTGGTTCATTCTTTGATTATTCCGCTTCAAACCAAAACCAAATTGGACCCCCCCCCACCCAAAAAAAAAAACAAGTCATTTTTTGGATTTTCTGTTTTAAAACCAAAACAGAAAAATATTGATTTTGATATTTAATGTGTTAATGTATCACTGAATTAATTTGATACTGAAGAAATCTTAACCACAGGATTCTCGGGCAACTTCTGAGGCATTACTTTTCCTGTTCCAGTTGCTAGTGAGTTACAAACTGAACATTGAGCTTCCTGTTTTTCTTAATTAAAAACCAATTTATGTTGATTTGGCTTCACCATGGATGCACTGCTGGGTCAGGAGGGAGACCTTGACGCTTTTACCTCCTCCAGGCAGGTGGTCAGAGTGGATGATGGCAGGGCAACAGAGGGGGTTGAGTTTGTCCAGAGGTAAAGTGTCAGCAGTAAGTTAGCAGTGGAATGACATTCCATGCCAGCTGATGACATGGCCAAGGGGGGAGCATGTAGAAAACAAACAGGGTTGGGCCCTGCACAGACCCTTGAGGGACACCACAGGTGACATTACATGTCAGGGATTTATCATGCTGAGTTCTCCCGGTGAGGTAGGATGAGAACCACTGTCCACAGAGTCGAAAGCTGCAGTCAAGTCCAGGAGGATGAGAAGAGATGAGGAGCGAGTATCTGCAGTCATCAGCAGGTCATTTGTGACCCTGACCAGAGCTGTTTCTGTGCTGTGGCCAGGGTCAAGCGGGAAGCTTCCGGTCAGCGATCTGATGTGAATGTGGAAGTCCCTGAAACCTGCATTCTATGGAACGGCCAGCAGGGGGCAACTCTTCTGGTTGCAAAAAGAAATCTGGCTCCATTAGAAATAATGCCAAAATGACCCTACTTCTCAGCTGAATAATTACCTCAGTAATAATGAGTTTATGGTCTCAGTCACTAGTTTCAAGTCTTGCAAGACCTTGCATAGGACTTCTGATGTTCTCGGTAGCCTTGCCTATGAACAGTGAGTCCTGAGGCCTTGAGGCGCCGCTCAAGGACATGCCCAGCTGTATTCATTTTCCAGAGTTCGCATGTGTACCAGGGGGCTGAGGGTAAGAAGCTGACGGTTCTAGTTTTGACAGGGGCATGGAGATCAAGGAGACTGCTCAGAGATAGGTTGTAGAAGTGAACGGACTCAGTGACTGAGGAGAAATCAGCAGGGGAGAGATTATGGAGGTCTATGGTCAAAGTGTCCAGGTTGATCTATTTGAGTTTCCTATAGCAGATTTGACGCTTGTCTTTGGTGTGCAAGGAAAGGAGTGGCAGCTCCATTGAGATGGCCTTGTGGTCAGACTCATCCAGATCATTCGCCGAAGGTTGCAAATGGGGGCGGAGATTGAAATGACCAGGTCCAGTGTGTGCCCCCTGGAGTGTGTGGAGACATCACTATGTTGTTTGAGGTTGAGGCAGTCCAGTAGTTGCAGAAACTCAGCTGCAAAGTGGCAGGAGGGGTTGTCTAGATGAATATTAATATCTCCAACTATAATAATGTTGGCAGAGGTGGTGCAGGTTGTGTATTTCTAAGATGAAAGCTGAGTTGGGTTTGGGGGGGCGGTAGATGAGGAGCATTGTCATGGGAAAGGGGGGTTTACATTTAAGTGCTAGGCATTCAAATAAGGACAGTGTAGGGGAGAAATCTCCAAGTTCTGTCGGTGTATGAAAGCTAGGCCGCCACCATGACCAGTGCTGCGGGCTTTCTCCAGGTAGCTGTAACTGGGGCGATTGACTTCATTTAGTGCTGAGTAAACCCCTGGTGTGTGCCATGCTTCTGTTAGGCACATTAAGTCTAATCCCTTGTCCATGATGTGGTTTTGTATGAAGGATGCTTTATTTGTGAGGCATTGTGTATTGAAAAGTTCTATTTTGAGTGTTGTTGACACTGGAATCCACTCCATGTTTTCTGGTCTGCTTGGTGTGCAGAGATCTCGCAATGCTTCACGTGTTACTTGCACCAAGAACGACATTGCTCTGATTATGAGGCAGATGTGTGACAGTGATCCAGATGGTTGGAATGTTTGCAGCAGAGTGGCCAGGCTTATGGTAAACAAACTTTCAGAAACATTCACTGCTGTCAGCAGGTGCATGTCTGAAAGGGGCCAAAGGCACAAGTCTTTTCCTGCACCTTGGCATGTTGAATAAGCTACAACATTCACAGCTAATCCCTGCTGTCTCAGAATTATACACATACACTGTCCAACCACTCACAGGCTTGAGAGAAAAACAGCATTTCAGATGTTACGACTTTTCTTCCTTACAAACATAAGAATTTCAAAATGACTGATGCCATTTTTGACTGGATATTGTTAATATTACAGAATGTGGTCTAGACCTCCTCTACATGAAATGTGCAATGAGACCACTTCTGTTCTGAATTGTTGCTATATAAATAAAAGTGAACTGACATCACTGGACTCTTCCTAAACAAGCTACACTTTTAAACTTCTGAGGTTCCGCTGAAATGATTAGAATCTAACTAAAGACAAACTCTTACCGTGACTTTCTGGCCAGCCTTCAGGACATATTTGGGTGTGAACTTGTAGGTGGCTGTAGCACTTCCGATTGTCTTAATCATCTCATATCCCACCATTGCCTGGTCCTGAGACAGACAGTCGTTGACACAATAAATAAATAAATAAAAAGCGTATCTCTAAGTCACTGAAAGCTTGTAACATCTTAACAGCCAGGAGGTCACCTCATCTCCGCTGTTGTGGAGGCAGATGAACTTGCCGTCGGTGTCGATCTCGTCGATGCAAATGGATCCTGTGGCCGAGGCAGAGTGAGTGATGGAAACTGAGCTGCTGGCTTCCTGTTCCTCCACATCAACACGTTTCCTCTTCCCCTGAGTGGTCCGCACGCTGTGGCTGCTGGACGAGGCTCGAGACACCGTGACACGAGATGAAGGACTGGGAGACAGTTTCAGTCTGGGGGAGGGAAACACCACAGATAGACATCAGGTCAGTAATGTAATTCAGCAGGTGTGTCTGTAACATAAACAATGCCACAACTTTGAGTCCTCACCTTTCTTCTTCCCCCTCTAGAAGTTTGCGGTACGCATTGATCTCCATGTCCAAAGCCAGTTTAACATCCAGCAGCTGTTCGTACTCGTTCAGCTGTTGCTGCATCCTGGCCTGGATCTCAGCCACCTCACGGTCTTTGTCTGCCAGCAGCTTGCGGCTCATGTCTTTCTCCTGAGTCAACGCCACTTCAAGCTCTGCTATACGATCACGCCAACCACGAGTCTGAATAGAGACAAAGAGGTATGTATCACAGAGGCTTACGTTCTTCTTTCATTTCTCCTTTATGTAAAAAAGAAAAAATAAGATACAGGTATGGATTGTGAAACAAACTGACCTGACTGGTTGGAAACTACTAAAACTTTTACTCAATTTTGCTGACCACTGAATTTCTTGCTCTTCGATGGATCCCATCACTAGATATCTCTTAGAACTAAATAAACCTCATCATTTCAAAAGATCCTGTTGAAAAAAGTGTAGATTCTATTTATTATGATTCCCATCACCTGCTGAACGCAGGTGGCAAAAAACTAATCTCCAGGTTCATTATGATTCTATAAAGAGAGACTTTGCATTTATAACTTATAAGAATAAGACAAATGGAAGGCGGTCCTTCTTCTCTGACATACGTACCTACGCCGTAGGCTACGCACGTAGCCATGCATTTATACTTCCGTCAATCTGCAATTACATCCCCAAACACTAGTCGGCAGTAGCGCTACAGCGTCCACTGTGTTGACTTTTGCCTGCTGAGCAGGCTAACTTCCGGTTTAGCCCTCCGCTAAAGTGAATGGGGGTAAAATTGTATATGTGCGGCTGGTATAGCCTTTTCAAATGTTACTGACCGAATGGATCACATTCTGATAGCGAAATGAGTCATTGTGATCCACTGTGTTACTGCCGCCGTTTTGGCCGATAGTAAAAGATACTACAAAGCACGGGGCACATCCGGTCGGGTTACATTTTTGAGGAGGTGCACGTCAGGCGAGGGCGTAGCCTCTGCGTAGCCCCATAGCCTATGCCGTCACCTCCGGTGTCGATTCGACGCAGAACTTAAAAAAAAAAAAGAGCAATCTAGACAGGTCACTAATGAGCAGTAACAGGCCCATATCAAATCTGCTGTTTAAGTAAAATCATTGAAAAAGCTGTTTTTCAACAGCTTAGTGCTTTCTTGGCACTAAATAACAATTACACATCTGAGCTAAGAAAAATGACATGTGAAGTTCCCCAAGGCTCCATTCTGGGGCCTCTTCTGTTTAACATCTACATGCTTCCACTGGCTCAGATTATGAAAAACAACAAAATATGTTACCATAATTATGCAGATGACACACAGATTTACATAACCATTTCACCAGGGGACTATGATCCAATACAAGCGCTGAGTAACTGTATTGAACAAATTAACAGTTGGATGCGACAGAATTTTCTTCAATTAAACAAAGATAAAACTGAAGTTACTGTCTTTGGAGCCGAGGAAGAACGATTAAAAAAGTCAGTGCTCAGCTTCAATTGGTAATATTAAAAACCACAAATCAAGCCAGAAATCTTGGTGTAGTCATGGACTCAGACCTGAATTTAAGCAGCCATATTAAGACAATTACAAAGTCAGCCTACTATCACCTGAAGAATATATCAAGAATTAAAGGACTTATGTCTCAGCAAGACCTGGAAAAACGTATCCATGCATTCATCTTCAGTTGACTCGACTACTGTAACAGTGTCTTTACAGGGCTCCCTAAGAAATCCATCAGACAGCTGCAGCTGATTCAGAACGCTGCTGCTCGAGTCCTCACTAAGACCAAAAAAGTGGATCACATCACTCCAGTTCTGAGGTCTTTACACTGGCTTCCTGTATGTCAAAGAATTGATTGATTGAAAATCCTGCAGTTAGTTTATAAAGCACTAAATGGTTTAGGGCCAAAATACATGTCTGATCTTCTGCTTCGTTACGAACCATCCAGACCTCTCAGGTCGTCTGGTACAGGTCTGCTTTCTGTCCCCAGAGTCAAAACTAAACGAGGAGAAGCAGCGTTTAGTTTTTATCCTCCATATATCTGGAATAAACTCCCAGAAAACTGCAGGTCTGCTGAAACTCTGTTCTTTTAAATCAGACTTTTTTTTACCACTGCCTTTAACTAATAGATTGATAACTTACACAGCACTGTAACTTTTACTGTCCCGTTTAGTTTTTCTTTAGATTTTCAGGGAACGCTATTTAAAAAGTATTGTGTATTCCATCATCTCACACGGCTGATCCTCAGTTAACAGTGCCAAGTAGAAGTACAAGGATTAGAGTCCCTGTTTTCTCCGCTGTTAACTTGTTAACAGGGCTCCCTGTCAACTGCTTTTACCAGAGTTTGTAGAGTGGACAATCTGGATTTACAGTGACAACTGTATCTAAGGAATAAGGGTAAGAGTCCCTTAGTGTAACAACAAAAAATGGGGGAGAGAGTGGGAAATGAAGGAGTAATATACGCAAAGGTGAGAGACCTGCCTGTTTTTATTTTCTATTTAACTTTTTTATATTTCCCTGTAGCTTATGTTTTATGTATAGCACTCTATACTATACTACTATAGAATTACCTTGTTTTTGAAATGTGCTATACAAATAAACTTGCCTTGCCCAAAAACTTTGATAAAAATTCCATATATCCTATCCATACAGATGAGAAAAACCTGATAACTGAACTGAAAAACTTCACATCAGAAAACGCCACAAGGTGGCACCATGTCGTTCTAAAGAGATCAACCAGTTCATCAAATAAACAGAAAAACATAAATAGAAGGAATTCCAATTGATCAACAAAAAAAAAAAAAGGGCAGAACATCTAGAGGTAATTTAACTGGAGCAAATCGAGGGAATTTCATGAGACTCCTATACAAATATGAAGAAGCTCTATCATCTCGTAGATAGGAGGTCCTTCTACAATGAGATATTGATAAAATAACATTCACATACAAATATGTTTTGATTATTATGCAGTAATTACCTACATCACAGTGTGACTTTTAAGGATGAGCCAGGAACAAATTAGTATATTATAACATAACCAAAGGCACCTTAGGAGAAGTCAGAAAGTCAGATTCCAGAAAGGTTTACTCAAAGTAAAATATGTTAGTTAAATTTAATAATGAATACTCTGACAAAGACATAGGAAAAAGTCTCAACTTGTGTATCCTGGAATGAATGCCACTGTAACTGATTTGCTGGAACTTGATAATATATCTTCCCCTAACACTTGCATGGGCTACAACAGCTCACAAAATTGAAGCTCACAGTTAAAACAGACAGACAGACTGATCCTCGACTTTTGGCGTTATTCTACAGCAATATATTTAATGCTCTCATGAGTCTCAGTCATACATGGGTTTCGTTGTACTGGCCCACCACAATATCAACATGGAGTGCCGCATATTGGTTTTCTATTTTTCCTCTAAAATGGGTAAATCTTATTGTATTGTAGAGCTGCATTGGTTCACTCTGCCCCTCTTAGCCCTGCTCTCTCTTTCTCTGACTTGGGGTCTTGTGTGTGTCGCTGCTATTTCGATTTGGAAACTGTATCTTTATCCAACTAAATTCTTAGCTCACTAGCTTATCAATTACATTTTCAATTCCATTAAGCATTATAGGCATGAACGTTATGACAATATTATAGTTAATGTAACTAGCCACAGTACAAATGTATTTAGTTATCCTAAAGTTACACTAGATGTAGCTGTGATATTTCTTGTCTCACTTGGCCCCGACTCTCCCTGCAACAAATGTTTGTGAACACAGAACTGTTTTCAATGCAAACTCTGATGACATGCCGTTGGAATAAAGTCTTTTTACTATGCAAGTTATAGAATTTACGGTCTAATACCTATCCATACAACTTACAAGCTCGTCCTCCTCAGTTCTTTCTACTCCTGTGACCTCTGTCCTCTTCCTCTTAAAATGCTGCAGGATGCTTGTCTCTGTGTGAATATTTTGACTACTTTCAAATTGTTTATGGACAGGTAGCAGAGACACATACACACCTCATGGCACAAGTTTTAAAGGTCAAGGATGGCCACAGACGGAGGCAAAAAAGTGGCCCAGGAGTTCCACTCTCCAGACAAAGCATTTGTCGAGACCTTTATTCCTGTATTCTTGAGAATTTTATGCGAGTACATAAATAAATGAGCCATTAAAATACATTTTCAGACTAGAAACACCTCTCTAACCTCCTAAAGTAAAGTAATCACTTCAGCTGAGCCCTTGAGTAGATAAATAAATGAGCCATATCATCATCAGTCTTACCATAAGCTGGTGCTTTGGGCTGTGCTGGCTGTGACTCTGTTCTGCTTTTGACCTCATCTCTGCTGTCTGTCTCATGTTCACCATGACAGTGCTAGTACAGGTGCCGCTGGCCAGTGGCAGGTAGAGTACTCAAAATCTTTACTCAAGAAAAGTACAATTACTCCCACAAAAAGTAAAAGAAAAAAAATGACATACCTATTTCATCTGCTGTTCATCTGGTTAGAAACAGCCGCAATATGGTAATTTCTAGGGAATGCAATTTGCTTTGCTGGTTGATTGTCTTTAGCTATTTCTGTTTAATAATTATTTTCCTTTTTAAATCTCCATGAATGTGTTTTGTTAAGATCACTTTAAAATATCACGCTTGCTGCCCAGCCAACTATTGAAGCCTGTAAATTTTTATTATGGACATGTAGCCAACCAAACCACTTGCTTTGCAGTAGCACAGGCAACCAAAACAATCTGATTACTCAAGCATCTAATAAAGCATCCAAATAATCTTTACAATGCAAAGAATGATTGTAACACGGGAGCAGCTTGTTGTTGAAGCAGGTAAAACTACATTCATAGGAAGCTGTGCGTCATGCGTAAAGCCCAACAGGACTGTTTTATCCACCATATTTTCTCTCTGTGCATCTCAAAAATGATTGTTTCCTGAAAAAATAACAGCTGGTAGCTGATTAGTTTTGCCAGCGACATTCTGTTTATCGACTCACATCACTATTGAACAGTAACCAATGTAAAAAAAAGAAAAACAGTCAAATATCCATCAAAAGAAAGCGATGCTCTTTTCAACAACAGGATACTGTTAATATATCAGAATTAATCTAGTGATCATCAGACTTCGATGTTACAGTGTGAAGTTTACGTTTTCTCTGCAGAGACTAAATACGCTTTTAATGCACCGTTAATGGAAAGTGAAAGTAGGTGCCGGCCGGCT